GGGGGGGCGCCAAGGGGCTACGGATATCGCAGCCGGGCGCGCCCTCCCCGACCCCAGAAACCTGCCTCGGCCGGATGGGCGGCCACACTGCTCCCCGCTTCTCCTCCCAGCCCCTTGGCCCCTAAGAGAGCCCACTCCAGGTCCGGTTCAGGAGGCGTTCTAGGCCCTGGAGGCGGCCCCTGGCCTATTGCTTCATTTCATTGGTGTGTGTGTGTGTGTGTGTGTGTGTGTGTGTGTGTGTGTGTGTGATTGTCCTGAGCGGGTCCACAGACGGGTGGCCCCTCAGTCCTCTGGGCTGCGCTGGGCCCTGGAAGCCAGCCGCCACCTGGGTCTCCGGATGGAAAGCGCCTTTGATCAGCTCTCCTGGGTGGGTGTGGGGGGGGGCAGGCGGGAGTGGAGGAGGGAAGGGTCCTTGCGGCCGCCCTGTTCTGAAGACTTGGAGTGGGATTTAGGCAAAATCCAGCCAACTTTCTGGTTACCCCTGCCAGGCTCACACTCCCAGGTGGGCTCCCGACGCCCCAGGGCTCCACTCCCGCGCTGGCTGAGGTGTCTGGAGGCGCTGCTGCTGGGCCTTGGCTCCCAAGACAGGGGGGCTAGGCAGGTCCCTGAGATCTGGGTCTCCCCACGGGGATGGGGCTCTGGGTGGGGCCCTCATTTCCCTGCAGAGCTGCCAGAGGCAATTCCTGGGCCGTCGGAGAGCCGGGGAGTTGATGGGGTCCCAAATCCCAGCCTGTCCACCCTTCCCTGACACCTGGCAGGGGAGGGTCTTACCATGGACAGCTGGCCCTGGCCGGATGCCCCCCAGCCTGGCTGCTCAGTGTTCCTTGGGAGACCTGCGGGCCACAGAGTCCCAGACTGAAGCCTTGGCCCGAACCAGGCCACCTCAGAGTGACTCTGGGTCTCTGGCCACACCTACCTCCATGGCCACCTTTCCCAAAGGCCACTGTGGCCTGAGAAACCCACACTGATACCTGCGGTGCTGGGTCAAAGGCCCAGAGGGAAGTGTTTAAAAATAAAAATGTGCAACCTACCACTTCTTCTTTTAGGTAGCTGCGGGGAACCGGCCAGGGAGTGAGCTACTGCCCCTAGAAAGGACGGTCAGGTGGGCAGTGGTGGCCACAGGAGGTCCAGGGCCACATACACATCCCAGGCCACACCAAACTGTGACCAATGACAAAAACCTATTGGAAGTTGGGCCTGGGAGATCCTTGACCCTCCACTCTTACAGGGGAATAGCAGTAACATATCCTATATAATAAAAGCCTAATATGCAAATTGTTCGGCCGGGAGTTCAACCTCTCACTATGACTTGTACTGACCACCAGGGAGCAGCGTGGAACATGGCAGGTGTCGGCCACCCCCCCCCCATGGCCCCCAATGAGAGTGGGACCACAGTGGGATGGTGGAGCAGATGAGGGGGTGGCACCAGGCCAAGGGAGGGTGCCAGGTGGGGCTGTGGGGCTGTGAGGCTGGGGGTATAAGCTGGGGCCTGATCTCCGCAGGCCACCCCAAGGGACCCCACCCATGCACGAATTCATGCACCGGGCCTCTAGTTGGGTTATAACTGGGGACTGGTTAGTGGGCAGCCACTTCCAGGTGCATAACCTCATTTAATTTTCTTAACCCCTCAGTCCGGAAGGTAGTAACATCCCAGCCCTAGAGACAGAGTCTCAGAGATGGTCAATAACTCCCCAAGTCAATACAGTTGGCAAGTGTGGAATTTGAACTCACTTCTGACTTCAAAGCTATTCATGATCTCCTTCAGCTGCCCCACGTGACTCCGTCCATGATTGAGTTCCAAACCCACCCCTGCTTCGAGTTTTCAGCATCTCCAGTGATCATGGTCTAATCATAGATGCAGAGCAGTGACAACTAGGATTAGAAAACTAGTTAATGCCAGAAATCCTGATAATTAGGCATTGTTTTCATGAATTTTATCCCAACAACAGGAGGCACAATGGAAAGGTGGAGTCTTATTTCTAATAAGGCTATTGGTTACCAGCCAGGAGCATTTCCCTCTCCTACATCACGAGGCTTGGAAGGAATAAAGTGAGGTTTCCTGGGTGCAAACCTACTGAATGAATGTCTGAGCGTCAGAATGGGCTTTTTGGACGCCTCCCCAGGGGGTCTTCCCACCAGTCAAAGTTGGAGGACTGCACCTTTTCAACTTGGGTAAAGTCAGGGGACTCAGCTAGGCTCCCTGAGGGCAGGGAACATCTTTCTTTGTTTTTATCCACTTACTGGAGCTACAAATGCTTATCAGGGAAAGGACGAAAATGGGATATTACAGAAAACACCTAATTTAAGGAAGCAGCCATTTACCCAGAGTCTGTTTGTCTCTGTATCAGGACCTGGGCAGGACCCAGGACACACCCTTCACCAAGGGACCTCACTGGGCCCCAGGCGGGGCTCAGGGTTGGTGCCGTTGACCAAGGTCCCTCCATGTTCCAAGCCCTTGAAGTAACCAACGTCAATAAAGAAAGAGCCAAGCCATAACCTGGTTTTGCTTTTTTGTTATGCGCAGTACTCCCCCGCCCCCCTTGCGACTGGATTAAAATTCTGTGGGCATCCATCCAGAAAAACCATGACAGGTTTCTGAGAGGACGCAGTGGAGGATGGAAGCTGGGGATGGGGATTTCAGACAAGCAGCTGCTGCCCCCAGAGACACGAAAGCTGTGTCCACGGGCAAAGGAAGGAGAGAGCTCAGTCAATTATGTGGATAATCTGAGACAAGCCTGTACGACACGGCACAGGAGGTCACAGGACGGCTCCAGGTGGAAGTGTCTTACTCTCCTGGCTACATTTGCTTCCCTCCCCAGGGCCCTTCCCGCCCCCACATCCCTGCCTGCAGGTGCAGACAGACCCAGAATAGAACTGTAGGGCTGGAAGGAGTTTGAGAGATCAACTATTCCATAGCCTTCATTTGACTTGACAGACGGGGAAAGGAAGCCTGGAATGACAAAGTGACTCGTTAAGGGTTAGACAACTAGTTAGTGGGGGCATCGGGGAGACAGCCCCGGTCCCCTGGCTTACAGCTCCCCTCCCGCCACCACCGGGGCTTCCCAGAACCTGAACTCCAGGAATGCTTTCTCTGGGGTTGGGTGAAATGATGTCATATCAATGAACGAAATCACCATCAGAGCCTTGGGGGTGTTTGTCACCTTCCCTGTCTCCGTCCTGTCACTGCCACAGAAAGCAGGATTCGAGCTGGTACACAGCGCTTCCCTTTTCCATCTTCACTCTTTAGTTCAGAAAGGTATTGGGGGGGGGGGGTCGGGGGAGAACATGCTGGCAGGAAAGCTGAGATCCTCTTAGATTGTGAGATTGTGAGCGGTTTGGGGACAGCGTAAGTTCATGTTTGAAACATCATTTTAAAAAGAATT